CATGCCTTCAATGATCCAAGAATAGAGGGCAGAAGAGATGGGAAAGTACCTCCTGGTTACATCTCATTTGCCACAATTTGGATACACAAGGAGGTGGTGGTTGCAGCGCAGGAGCCCAGCTTAGGATGCTTAAGGTCCTGGTTCAGTCCCCACCAATGCCTCTGCCCTCCCCCTGCCTTCAGCAACACCTAAACCAAAAACAGCCTCACAAGTGTTCTGAACTTCAACAGAGGTGGGACATGCGGCCTTTGTTGTAGCCATCCACAGACCCACCTAAAGTTTATTATTATTAAAGAAAGGGAGAATAGATATTGGGGGCAACTTGACTACCGACCAGCTGCACTGGGACCTGGTGAGTACAGCTGCAGCTGCCTGCACCAAGCCCTCCTCAGCATGGCGCCTCCCCTTGCTTTTGATTGCTGCACATGTCCAGCAGTGCTTTTCTGCTTTGCTCTTTTCAGCAACAGTGGTTGTGCCACAGTGTTGGTCTTTCCTCTACACCTTGTAAGGAATGGCTGAGTTTGTTAAAGTACAACTGACTTTTACACACAGGCCTAAGGCTACTTGTAGGATCTGATGGCTCTTTTTCAAAAAAGATGTTAACATTTTGTTATAGGTATTTTTTCCTAGTGGGGCCTTCCTTTATGAGAGTAAGTCAGAAGGTTCTGGCTTAAACAAAAACCACCACTGTGGGAAACATCATGGCCACTCTTACCTTCCTGAGATAGATAATCCTAAGCGGCATGTAGTTTTTGATTGGACCTAATGGCCAATTCAGAATGGGATCACATTTGTTACCATCCTGCCTGGTTCTTTTCTTACGTCTCATCTTTCTTGTCTTCTAGTCTTAATTACAAAAATTTCTCAGGTGTGTTTCTCTGGGTACCAGCTCACTTGTGTCCCTATCTTTAATCAGAGCGACATCTGGAGCCTCATTAAATCCTCATTTATTTCCTTTTCACTTGTTCCCTCTTATTGTTCCCTCTTCATTGTCTTTATTTCTGGCTTTTAAGAACAGATTCATTTTATTTATTTTTGTCTGTATATATGCAGGTACCCTCAGAGGCCAGAAGAGAGTGTCAAATCCCCCAGAGCTGGAGTTACAGGAGGTTGTGAGCTGTCATGTGAATGCTGGGCATGGAACTCCAGTTCTGTGCAAGAGCAGCAAGTGTTCTTAACCTATGAGCTATTCATTTCTCCAGCCCATTTCTGGTTTTAGAAGCAAGGCCTTGCTATATATCCCAGGCTGGCCTTGAACTTGTGATCTTCCTGCCTCAGCCTCCCAAGGGCTGGGATTATAGGTATGCTAACATACCTAGTGGTCTGTCCATCTTTATAGAGTCTGTAGTGGTACTTGCTAAGGAGTGTTTGCAGCTCTGAGAGTCCTTTGATAGCTGTCACTGGCATTCTTGGTCCCTCTGGGAGTCACTATGGTTTTCTAGGATTTTGCTTCTATTATTAGGTTTGATTGCATCTAAGCTACCACTTTAATCCTAAAAGAGACTCCTCTCCCCTCAAAATACCTTCTTATATGAATTAAACCCAATGTACCTTATATTTTATCTGCTACCTGTTCTTTAATTTCACTTTTCCTTGTACATCTATTAGATTTGTTCTCTAAGATTCAATTTTCTTTTCCCCAAAGTTTTTCCTTCTCAAGCTTGTTCTTTTTGGTTTAGTTTTTAACATACATCCATTTGCTCCTGTTCTAAGCTGAAGAAAAATCTAGAGAAGACTCTAGATATTCTTTGATTTCCCAAACACACATCTATTTTCTGGAGCCAGTGTTTTTGAACCAGGAATAATTGTCTTCTTAAGTTTTGGTTGTAAGACAGTTTAACTTGTCTCTCATAATAATAAAGGGCACTAATTTTGTTTACTTAATTATCATGAAACACTGCACAGGTTTCTGTAGAGTTTGATGCCTGGACATCTAAAGCTATGAATCAGAGCAGGTGTGATTTACAAACCCAGGCAATTCATGACCACACAACCAGAGAAGGTTGAGTCTCTGAACCAGTCACAAGATTCTAAGGTTAGTTTTAGGTTTCTTGTCTAAAGAGACTAGCATTAATAATGGAAATCTAGAGCCTCTGAATCCAGTGCTGTATAGCACATATGGTGTTTACGGGTGTCCTAGTCTGTTCTTCATTGCTGTGACAAAATACTCTGACCAATACCAACTTGGGGAGGAAAGGGTTTATTTGTCTTACATCTCCCAGGTCGCAGTTCATCAGGGAGCCCAAGGTAGGAACTCAGGGCAGGAACCTGGAGGCAGAAGCTGGAGCACAGGCCATGGAGGAATGCTGCTTACTGGCTTGCTCCCTTGACCCCTGCTCAGCCTGCTTTCTTATGCAACACAGGCCCACCTGCCCAGGGGTGGCACCACCCACAGTGGGCTGGGCCCTCCCACATCACTCATCAAGAAGATGCCCTTCAGACATGTCCACAGGCCAGTCCAATAGAGGCAATTCCCTGACTGAGGCTCCCTCAACCCAGGTGTGTCAAGCTGACACTAAAGCTATTCAGCACAACGGGTCTCACTTGTAAAGGAAGGACAGAATTAGAAAACTATCACTTTATAACCTCAAAAAAAAAATAACATACTTTGGTAAAAATTATTAAGGACACTCTAATGGATAGATGAAAAATGGAAGGCGGGGAATTTTATGATGCATCAGGCTGACAACTGCTAGGGGCACAGAGCAGTTTTGAAGGGAAGGGTAGAAAGGGGTGTCATTATGTGCCCAGGTTGGCCTCAAGTTCCCAGGCTCAAGAGCTCTTCCTGCTTAGCCTCCTGAGTAGCTCTAATATTGGCACTCAGTACTGCATCCAGCTGCACTGAGCAATTCTGACATTTCTAATAATGGTCATGAGATATTATGCACCTATCATAATACAATAAAAAACAATCAATACGCCTGTGAAGTAGCCTTGCAAAACATTTTTGGATCCAAATGAATGAAGTCTCTAGAACTAACAGTTTCAGGAAAAATGAGTGATAGAGGAACATGCTAAATAATACAATGAGGATATAGTAATCTAAATTCTTAAAGTGAGATGACAATCCACTTAAACAAGTGGCATCAAAAAAGAGGAACTGTGGGGACTGGGGAGATAGCTCAGTTGGAAAAGTTCTTGCCATACAAGCCTGAGGACCTGAATCTATCCCCAGCACCCATGTAAAAAGTCAGGCATAGTGGTATATGTTTGTAATCCCAGTGATGGGGAGGTAGAAATGGGAATCCCTAAGGCTTGCCAGCCAGCCAGCTTAGCTGAACTGGCGATGCCAGGACCCAGTGAAAGATCCTGCTTCAAAAAACAAGGTGCATGTCTCCCCAGGAATGACACTTAATTTTTACCTCTAGCTGTCACATGTATGTGCACACAAATGCACCCCCACGTACATGAGAGAGAGAGAGAGAGAGAGAGAGAGAGAGAGAGAGAGAGAAATGTGTAAAGACCCTTGAGGAATCACATCAACCAAATGTAATCTACAGGTCTCACTTGGGAACTGACTATGCAAACCAAATATAAAAAGACAATTTGAAAACCTTTTAATTTCAGACTTAGAAAAGAGTTGACACAGTGCAAGAATTTCCATATACCCTTCACATGTAATATCTTACACATGTATATTTTATCTTCTTTCTGTATTCATGTAAGTTTTATGAGTGCAAGCTGCAAACAAATTGCTCCTTTACCCTTAAATATTTTATTATTTTCTAAAATCAGGAGCATTCTAATACATGAAAGTACAGTCATCAAAATCCAGAAATTAATCCCAACATTGTGATTGTTAACTTGACTGTCAACTTGATAGGCTCTGGAATATCCTGGGAATAACCTCTGGGATGCCTGGGAGTTTCTAAACTGGGTTAACTGAAGTGGAAAGACCCACTCTAAATGTGAGTGACACCAGCCCATGGCTGGAGTATCAGATTAAGGTAAAAGGAGAAAGCAAACGGAGCCCCAGCTTTCCTCACTGTCCACTTCCACTGACAGCAGATGCAACTTGATTGGCTGCTTCCTGCCCTTGCTACCATGCCTTCTCTGTCACGATGGCTGTATTCCCTCAAATGATGAGCTGAACTTAAGCTTTCTTCCCTTAAGTTGCTTTTTGCCAGTCATTTGATGCTGGCAGGAAAACTGTTCTACTGTCTTTCATAACAAAAGTAAAACCCTCATCTCACGGTTCAGCATCCATCCATCCATCCATCCATCCATCCATCCATCCATCATGATTCTTTAGCTTCCTTCAGTCTGCAGTAGTTTTTCATTTTGTTTTTTATGACCATGACATTTGTATAAGAGCAAAGGTCAATTATTTTTCAGACCGTCCCTTAACCTAGGTTGACTGATGCTTCTTCATTGTAACTAGGCTATTTTGGGTAGAGATTCACAAGAGGGATTTTGTTTCCTTGAGTGCATCTTATTACAGGGCACATATTATCTGTCTCACAGCCGAAAAAAATCACTTTTGACATAACTGAAGAGAACTGAAAATGATATTTAGTAGGTCCCAGCATTTTGCTAAACGCCATAATGCTACTGCGGTTCTTTCTGTGTCAGTGGTGCTTACCTGTTCACTATCACCATTACTGTATGTAGTTGGGAATGTACACACATACTACATATAGCTACACACATACTGCAGAGAAAAGTGAACTGAATTACACTAAGTTTGGTAACTCTAGAACAACATTATGACCAGTTCTAGATTATTCTAAAACAGTGTTATTTATGCATTATTCAGATCTTTGACCATCTTTCTTCCCTTCTGTGGGACTTCTTTTAATCATTACAGTTACAGCTTATCAATTTATGGCAGAAATCACACTCAAACTTGTGACTTGTTCCATAGCAGGGGCCTGTGGGAAGGAGACTGACACAACTGGTTAAACTCAGGCTTATAAACCTGAACATCATCTTGCAACTTTCATGTTCTCCTTATTATAATGATGAGTTTCATGAAACAAAAATTATCTAAGATGATCATACAATCAAATTTGCAGCCCAAATATAAAAGTCTGCATTTTATTTTTCTTAATTTTTTGAAAAAAATTTCATTAAACACATACACACAAACACAATTTCACCAAAGACCAGTATTTTGCAGATACTGGATTCTGCAGTATTCTTTCCCCTCCGTCTTATAGGAGAAAAACATGAAAGTGCTTCTGCAGCGGATTCTTCTAGTTTTTCAAGCATTCCTGTAGCAGCAATTGGTTCAAAACACTGCTTTGTTTCAAAGCACGCAGTCTGGATGTATCTTCACTGATGATAGGAATATTTTCACTGTGCTCTTGAGCTATCAGGTCACTCTCACTGTCGGACAGCGTACATAGGAGAGTGTCATTCTCATAGGTGGGGAAATAATACCTGAAAACAAATACAGACACACTGGATAACCAAGCTACTAACATTTCCAGAACTTCTAAGCAGCTGAATGTGCTCATTATTGGAATTTTGCTATATTTCCTTATTAACAATTTCAGTTATGTGAAGGCTGTTGAGAGACAACTTCTGAGTTACTTTCCTTTGACCTTTCTTGTCTAACTGGAGCCACTCAGCTTGATAGCTCCCAGATGAAGCACAGAAAGGCAGCCTGCTCCAATACTGGCCCAAACCTCCTTCACACAAAGCTAAAAGCAGCACTCCTTTCATCCCTACTCAGGTGTCCCAGTCCTTCCCAAAGGTTTAGCCTAAAACGGTTATTTTTTATTTTCAAATGTAAATACTTGAAATATGCAATGAAAATATAATCATTACTAGTACCTGCATCACTAATCTCTATAATAAGAACTAGAAAAAGAGTACCAATTCTCTAGAGGACTGATTTTGGGTCTCCTCAAATTTGGGATTTTCTGAAGAAGGAAAGCCAGAGCTTTTTGGCTAGAGTTCTGTGGAGGCCTGAATTCATGTTCTCTGAGGATGGAGAAACTTTTAGGTAGCTAGAATCTTACTCCCTCCAATGATGTTATCAAGAATGGTATGCAAAAACCATAGTAGAAGGATTAGACTGCAGATGATACCTGGGTGCCCGATGCCTATGTCAATGGGTGCATACCAGAGGACCAACTGTTTAATGTTCTAAAAGTGCCAAGATGGAAGATATATACCAAATCTCTAGCAATGTGCATGTGTTTGTCACAATAATTTTATTTCTGAGAGTTTATATAAATTAAATAATTATGTAAGTACACAAAAATATATGTATACTCATTGCATTACTACTTACAATAACAAAAAAAGCCTTAGAAGTTAGAGTTTATCTAAAAAGAGGGAACAGATAAGCATCAGATATGTAAAGGTGTTTGCAATATTTTGCTAAGAAAATACAAAGTAAATGTCTCTATCTGCTTCTACAGCTAACTATGGTTATACAGGCCTACTCAACTCAAATTTTGAAGCAAGTGGTTTCATGTGTGTTTTGCTTTTAGGTTTAAAGAAGCTAAATAGAGGGACAAAATATAGACACAGAAGTGCATGTCCAGTTCCTCAGTACTCACTCCAGCTGATCCCATGTCTTTTTTTCAGGAAGTAGTGAAGTATGTTTTGCTTCTTCCATGTGAGTCCTCAAATCTGCTTTGGATTTGAACTTCACATGGCAACCATAACACCGGCACTGGTGAACTTGCCTTCGAATGAAATTTACCAGTTTCACTTGCTGATAGAAATTTAATCCTGAAAATTGTTAGACAACCAGTCATATCTATTTCTGCATTTTGTAATTTTAAAATTTGAATTCATTTTAAACCAATATGTAAAAACACAAAAGTTGTACATCTTATGGGATATCATGTGATATTTTAATATATGTATATATTTTATGTTAGCACAGGATAAATATACCTATCTCTAACATTTATCATTTTTTTAACGTTGAAAACATTTAAAATCTTTTGTTATAATTTCTTAATGGAGACACTTATCCTAGGTCACTAACCTGAAGAGGCAGATCAATGATAACATAACAAAGGATTCTAATATAGGGCTTACATGCTAAGCTCTAGCACTTTTCATGTATTAAGACATTTAATCTTCCCACACAGGTGGAATTATTCTATCTCTACCTCACACATTAGGAAACTGTCCAAGATTTCATACCTGGGAAATGGCAGAGCTGAGATCTGATACCAGGCTGGTGGTTCTAGAGCTCTTGCTCTTGACTAGTAAACTAACTATAAATACAATGTACATGCAAGTCTACAAGAGCAGCAAAGCAAAGTCACACACCCAGTGGCCCAGGAAAGCAGCCAATGTGCCAAATGTGAGAAGTGAGCACTTCACTATATCAACTCATTAGGAAATTAGTACTTTATGTCTAAATGTCCCCTTCAATGGTAACCACACTGTGAGTGATACAGCTGAGCACATCTATAATAAATAATAGTAGCTACATGGCCAAGCATTGGGTGTTTTATACAGTAGTCACTCTGTATACCATTTCCTCCCTTGAGGTCTGATGTCATATAGTCAATAAATGCTGGAGTTGCAACACAACTCTTGTCTGACTTTAAGAATCGGTGCTCTTTCTGTTAGTCTCTTGAATTTTATTAAAGCACAAATATGTGTAGGAAAGTAGAAGAAAGAGTAGAGTTCAAAATGGTTGAGAATCATTGCTTCAGTGAGTTCGCTTAAGACCATCTGTACAGAGCCCTTCTGACTGGAGCTCTCTAACCACAGCTACAGAACACAGGCATCATTTACAGGATAGTTCATAAAAATGCAGCATCATGGAAAACAACTTCTGAATCATACTTACCAAGTTCTGACTTTATTTTGAGGAGATCAAATTCATGTGTGGCCTAAAAAAGAAAATGGATATATTTGTAAGCATATGAATCATTTAATCGCTCAGGCTAAAGTTATAAACTGCTATCTTATTCATGGGAGTTTGATATGTTAGAAACAGCCTGATTTATCATCTTTTGTTTTTACTTCCTCCATGGACAACAGCTCTTTAAAGCACAATCCAAATAAAGTCACATCAGTTAAACATATTAGTATGGCTTATTGTGGCAGTTTTTGTAATTTACCATGTCTGAAATAAGCAGTCTGATAAAGTATGTGGTAAGATATGGTTCTACTGTGCAGGGCATCTGGACCACAATTATGGAACCAGGTTGATTTTTCACACATTCTATTTTAAATTTATGCTGGTTTCTCTTTACTTCCATCTTCCTATCAATCACACTTTCAATTGTCACAATGCAGAGACTTATTTTATTCTGTTGTTCTCTTTCTCTGACTGTTATCTGGATAAATGTTTAAAGCTACAAGCTTACAGAGGATAAAACCCTCCAACTCAGCATGGCAGCATTTGGTGCAGCACCATATGCTGATGCTCAGGAATTCACGATATGCTTTCACTGCCTGAGCAGAAGTCAGATGCTTGCGGGGATGACAAAAAGGCATCCCCTACATGGCTTGCAGTACTAAGACCTTTCAATTCAGATACATACACATTTCCATCCTAGTGGTAACCTATAGTAGACAGATGGGTTCATAAGGGTAAATGTCCATGGTCTTTCCAACATCACTCAGGTCCTTATTTTGCCAAACTAAGAACAGTATTTCTGAATGAAGAGGAGTGAAGGTGGATGAAGGAGAGTGGTCGACTACAGACAGAAACAGCTGAGGGGAAGATGGAGAGATGACCATAATCACTCAGAAATATTCTATTATTATACTTCTTAGTCCTAAGTTGTGATACTGTCATAAATCATTAGATGGTTCTTTTCCTTGCTCTCAGCATCCAGCCAAAGGTCAGAGAAACATGGAGAGTATCTTTCAGATACATTGAAGTTCAGAATTACTAGCTTCAAGGTTCACTCTAATATAAACATGGCACACAGAAGGATGATGCAGACCAGGAATGTCCTATCTCTCTTTCCAGTTTCTGGTGCCTGAAGCGGCTCTAAGACCATACTATGTCCAATCCTGTCCATGACCTCTGCAACTGGCAACTCTTCCATCCTTGTTCTCCTTGTTAACAACATATGAAGCATGAGAGAAAGACCCAGAACCTATCTATGTTTATGTCATTGTGGCTACAAATCTGAACTTCAGAGCTACAACTATTTATCAGGTAAGCATTTCAAAGGAGGAAGCAGTTGTCTGTGGCATCCCTTACTGACAGCTCACCCAGGGCCAGGTGAACATACTAAGTTCTGCCCTATACTCTGGTTCTCCTGGATGGAACCTATCTCTTCTGTTCTGCTAATGCACTTTCAGGAATGGGATAATGACTAGACTGTGAGTGCTGCAGTTTGTCATCTTGTGGAGACAAAATGTTTTGACAGAGCCTCTGCTTCCCTGGGCCTGCAAGACCAGCAGGTCTCTCTCCGACCCACAGGCCTCTCTCCTGGGTAAGTCCATCGTACCCTGGCGCATTGACTCCCCCAGCCTTATTCACTCTCCCATCTCCCCCTCTGATCTCTCCTCCTAGCCGGGGTCCTGTCCCATTCCTTGTCTTGGGGCCCAAGATACCTGGAGAACGACTACTGCTTCCTGATCCTTTTCACCCAGAAAAACTCAGTGCCTTCTCTGGTCCCCAGGAGCACTGCTTCTTGGCCTGGCCCTGCCATCACCTCCCTCTGCTTCCCTGGGCCTGCAGGACCTGCAGGCCTCTCTCCAGGGTAAGTCCATCACACCCTCCCCACCTTGACTCCCCCAGCCTCATTCACCCTCCCATCTCCCCCACCAGTCTCTCTTCCTAGCCTGGGTCCTGTGCCATTCCTTGTCTTGGTGACCCAGACATCCTGGGAAACACCACTGCTTACTGATCCTTTGCATCCAGACCAACTCAGTGCCTTCTCAGGTCCCCAGGAGCGCTCACCTCCCTCTTCCCTGGGCTTGCACCACCCGCCAGACTCTTTCCAGGACAGAGGGGCTGACCTTTCCTCTTCCTGATCCTTTGCATCCAGACCAACCTCAGTGCAGTCCCCAGGAGACCTTGGGGCCGCTTCCTGCCCCCATCTGCCTTTGCATCTCTGGGGGGCACTGCCACCAGCTGCCCTAGACCAGTATCTTTCCTGGGCCTGGCTCCCAGGCCAATCCAACCCCCAAATTCCTGAGGCCAAAATCTTTCCTGCAGGGATCCAGACCTTAGAAGAAAGCCTGAGAGCATCTGATCCTCATCTGACTTGGGCCTCTGTGGGAAGTACTAAAGACAAAAACAATCTGGCCACTCCAATATAAAACCAAAAGAGAGAACCGGAAGCTTAGGCAAACCAGCTTTTCATGCCCAAAAAGTAAACCACGAAGACATACAAAGTTCATACAAAAAAAAAAAGGAGACCTACCACTTGAAGGCTTGAGTCTCACACAAGAATCAGAAACTACAAAAGAAATCCATGTGTCAAAATCAGAGAAAAAATAATAACATGAAAAAACAAAATAACATATCCCCACCAAATACCAATAGTCTCTAGAGGAGTACAATGAAAACCCCTAGAGATAATGCAGGACATGTAACTCAAAAGAACAGTTATAAAAACATGATACAAGACTTCAGTGAATTTAAAGA